CTCGACTTGCCGATGACTATTCGGTAAAGAGCCTAAATTAAAAATAAATTAACTACACATATGATAGAAATTAATTAACTGTTAAAAGTTAAAGTTTTCAACTTACCTATTATTCCATTCATACGTTTAAAACTAAAGCACCAGAACGCATACAATAGACCAAAATCATACGAACACTCACATAAGTGAAGTGAAAGGTGAAGATTTGGAGTTATCTTACCTCGGCTGTAATGTTCTTCGATTAACTTTATTATTTCAATTAACCTTTGGTAAGCTTTTCTCATTAGATTGATTTCTATAACTCGACTCACCAAAATCGTACAAACTCTTACAAAATGCGTAAGAATTTTACGATCCTTACTCAATAGATGTTTCCAGAGGGAGGCAGTGGCGTATATTGTAAAAAAGTTTCACCACTGATCGGCCATCAAGTTCACAAAACCTTCTCCACAATCAATTTTACTTGGGATTTGACCCAAATCGGCCGGCACTTGGAATTCATTCATTTTTTTCTGAATCTTTTCCAAGATATTTGGTGTTAAAACACCTTCTTTAATCCAAATTCATTTTACAATCCATTTTGCAATGCCTAAGAATAGGCAATGCATCAGATCAACGATAATGAACTGAATTGGATCAAAATATAGTAACCGAAGTAATTCAGACCACCTTATACCATTTTCCTTGACGAATCTTTCTCTTTCTGTATTAGATTTGCAATGTCACCAGTCCATTGCATTTTGGCGGTATTGTTTCAAATCCTGAACAAAGAACCACTCACTCATATTATCCATTCCAGCATAGTTATACTGTCGATTTTTATAGTTCACTTTTTTTTCATATCTGTGATATGAAACGAGTGCCGAAACATGTCCGCAGATATTTCTCGCAGCTGGAATATCGCAGGAGACAAGGATTAAAGCTGCATGAATATATCTTCCTTCTTGATACTCAAATGTGCGATCTAGAGTCACTCCACCCCAAAGTGACTCAAGTTCGTCAACAATTGGTGCCAAGTAGTGATTAATTCTGTATAAACTAACCTCGTTTGGCCCATGTAAAAAACCAAGAACTAATAGATTTTCGTGTTTGAATCGTAAATCACGAGGCAAGTTGCAAATTGCAACATAGATGACACCAGTGCTATGGACAGTTCCGTCATATGGCTGGAACCAATCAAGGTTCAGCATCAGCCCGAGATGCGAATCGGCCACTTCATCTTGGAAAAAATTTGGCAATTCTTTATCACTTGTTTCTTTAAAATTTTTTCAGACTTGGCCATCGTATATATCGGTTAAAACATCAAAATTTGACCGATTTGCCCAATATCTAAGGAAACTTTCAAAACCTGGTCGACGATATAAAGTAGCCAGCTGCTGACGAATCCCAACAAATGGATATATTAGTTTAGGTTGATTGGCTATTCGACCATCTAATAATTTTATTTGTTGAGATAATGGCGTTTGACATAAGCGCGTTTTCTGACTTGTTGAATTTGGATATTCAATGTATTGACACTCCATAATTGCTAGAATTTCGGCCTGTTGGAAGTTTACTACTACTTTCTTCTGATACAATTTGTGACACTTCGAACATACCACAAAACTATGAAATCGATCTTTCAGATCAAGTTCCTTTCTTACCAAATAAAGTGAGTCAGGGAAACTATCAAAGTCATCACCATCGATTTCTTTTAACACTATTTTCATAAATTTGATCAGAATTTCGGTAGCTGTTTCTGACATATGGAATTTTACTTGAAAATTCATGATCCATATTAAAATCCATAAAAATCATTTATCGTTCGTTGATTCTGAAACAGTTGGATCTTTAAACGGTTCGTAGTCAGGTGATGAGTAATCTTCAAAATTTTCAGCATAATCCTGCTCAGTTTCACTTGATAAGTTATCATCATTCTCAGTATCGAATTCAGAAGTTTCTGTTGCTGTATCATTATGTTCAGCAGTTGGAAGCTTAACAGGCAAAGTTTGACGATTTGTATATCTATGTTTTCAAAGTAATAAAGCAGAATTGGGGTCAAAGCAAGTAAAATCATTGGCAGTTTTTCGATTTTCTTCAATGTTTTGTCCATTTTGGTTAAGATTTTGTTCTAAAGCAGCTAAAGTTATCAAGGTCTCTCCATGTTGTTCATTTTCGACATTCGGTTGAGGTAATTCTATATCTTCCTGAACCGGACAGTTGTTTTGCTCATTTAACACATGTAATCTTTTTGTACGTGAATCAACCAAACTTCCACTACATTTGCTGCAAAAACAGGAAACTTTCGACCTACTTCTGCTATTTGGTTCAGTATTTGGTTGAGAAGTAGTTGACTCTTCATGAATTACACTTGATATTGATCTTTTTCTTGTCATTTTTTGGTTCTTTTAAAATTGATTTTATAAAATACATGAATGCGTTGTAGTTTAAAAATTCGTTTCAAAAAGTTTATTTCTAATGTATTATCATGTGAAAGTATATTTTGTATTTAGTCTATATAGTTAAGCTTTCTAAAGTTTATTGAAATTTGATCGTATAAAAGAAGCCTATTTTCCATTTGGCTTCTTCAAAACACTTGTCACAATTTAACGTTCAAGCTAATACAAGAATATCAAAAGATTATATATTCCTTTACTTTTAAAATATAAAAATATAAAAGATGGCTCATCAAAGAAACAAGTCTCGACCAACTGCACCTACTTCAGAATCACCTGCTGTTACTACTTCTGGTGGGTTTCAACTAGTTTTTACTCATATTAAATAGAACCGATGCTAACACTTTCTTTTTTAAAAAATTCTAGCAAAGACAATTCGTCAAGGAACTAACTTTAGACAAACTACACCGGCCACTTCTAGTAAGCAAAATAAAGAAAGAGACTTTAGCCAAATCCGATTGATGCCAAACATATGTCTGCCTACGAGTTTGCATTTACCTCCTATTAAAGAAAAAAGTACTTCAAGTTTATCAAACAGAAATGTTGACGATACAGGTATAGATTTTATTTTAAATTTTATGTTTATAATATTAATAATATGCTGAATTTTATCTATTTATGCTTTTAAAAAGAAGTTGTTCAGTTACAGGCACGAATTTTTGAATTACAAAAGGACAACCAGAAGTTACAAAGTCAAAATGCAGCACTTTCCGGAGAGTTGGACAAACTGCATCAGGAAAACAAAGCTTTAATTTTTATTAATGGAAAATTCAGAAAGGAACAGGATAAATTGTATGAAGAACTTAAACGAAACAGATCCTTTCGATTGCCAAGGACTTTGCAGTCGACTGCTAGGAGTTCAGAAGATGAAATTAACTCACAAGCTGATTTTGAATCGGATGATAAATCAGATTATAATACCACTCGAAGAGTTAAACGTCAGAAAACCAAAAAAAATTTAAAGGAAAGAAGCTGATTAGAAGTAGCGATGATGAAGAGGAATTGGATATAGATGGTGCAAAGGTTCGAAAATTTATTGATTTTCACTTGTTATACTGATTTTAGCAACTTTCACAAGATTATTTTTTTTTTTAGTTTGAAATGAAGACAATTCTTAAAACCTTGCCGGCCGAAAATGAAATGAAATATGACGAAAGATTTACAAGTGATTCGAATAATGAAATTTTACGAAAGCTGATACCAGAATTGATGAAAGTAATGAAGCCAAGATACAACCCTTCTTATAGTCAATTAAGGAGTTGGCTACAGACTTTACATAGGCACAGAAGAAGCCGATATAACTATAAAAAAAATAGTAAGCTCAATAAAGATAATCGTTGTTTACACAGCAACAGTCAACTTAATGAGGTAAATAAAGTTACATTTTATTAAAATTATTTATTATTTATTAACTTTATTTTATTAAATATAGAAAAAATTTTGACGTATAAAAGGTGCCAAATTCCTTTTCGAAAAGAAAGATAATCAAATAACAAAATATGACCGAGAAGAAATATTAAAGATATTACAAGATAACCGCTATCATTCTCCAGAGCTTAGCGAAACGGACGATGAAAATCCTGCAAATACAAAGCGTAATATCAACATTTACGATTTTTCTTGGAGGTTGGAAGAGGTTCGATCGATACATTTTATTTCTTGTTTTAAAATTCACAATTGTCAAAACTAATATCATTTTTTATTAGCTAAAAAATCTTTTACGTAACATAATAGACCCTCATTCGCTAACATTGCAAACTTTCAAACTGACGAGAGATCATCAACATAATGATGAACTTTACTTTTACAAGTTGTTCAACCCTAATGACGCTCCTGATTGGGCTTATAAAGAACAAGATATGGATTATGAGACCTATTTTAAAGCCTCCCAAAGTCGATCACTAAATGAAGCAGTTGAAAAAAGCGAAACATCTCCTATGGGCGAAATCCAAGATTATGAAAATGATGATAAATATAGAGATTATTATGATGGTGATCCGTATGGGAAATATGAAGAAAACTACTAGCATATAATTTGTTTTATAATTTATAGTAAATTTAATATTAAATTCATTTCGCTTATTTCACTTAATAAAATTCGTTTAAAGTTCGTTTAAAATTCGTTTAAAATTTGAATATATTTTTTAACCCTGAATTCTGCTATTCGTTATGCTGATTATATTCTGAACATCATAATCGAGTGGCAAGCGAAACGTGACAATCAGCACAAGTTTCAACTAAATTAACCAGCCAGATTTAGTTTGTAATTCGGCCCAAAACCAACCATCTGATTTTTGGCCGAAATGGAGTATTTTGACCAGTGTAAATTAAATATTTAAATTAAACCCACTTACTATAAACATCACTAATAATATTTTAAAAAAAAATCTAAAAAAAAAATATTTAAATTAAATTAAATAAAATTAAATAAAAAAAAAACTTAAAATTAAATTAAATTCACTTACTATCGCAGCTGCCAACCGTAAAATTTACTAGAAAAAAAAATTAAAAAAAAAAAATTAAATTAATTAATTAATAAATTATAAAAATTTATTTTTACTTATTAAATGATATTAATATTAAAGAAATCTAAAAAAAAAATAAATTAAATTAAATTAAATTAAATAAATAAAAAAAATTAAAATTAAATTAATTCACTTATTACAGCTGCCAATTTTTGACACAGTAATAATCTTATTTATCAAAAAAGCTATAAAAAAAAATTAAAAAAAATTAAAAAAAAATATTAAATTAAATCCACTTACTATAGACACCACTAATAATATTAAAAGAAATCTAAAAAAAAAAAAATTAAATTAAATTAAATTAAATAAAATAAAATAAAATAAAATTAAATTAAATTCACTCACTTACCATAGTCAGTGTTGTTATAGGACATTGATAGAACACTGATGGGATGCTGATAGGACATAGATGGGACAGATAGGACATTTGGAACATAGTGTGAGATAGGGTGAGGCATATAGCTAGAACAATAAATCTCTAAGATATCAAAAATGTATATCACTGACCATAGCTGGCAACCGCAAATACTAAAATTTACTACAGCTATAAAAAAAAAATTTAAAATATAAATAATTAAATTAATTAATTAATAAATTAAAATATTTTATTTAAATTAAATTAAACCCACTTACTGTAGATGTTACTAATAATAATATTAAAAGAAATCTAAAAAAAAAAAAAATTAAATTAAATTAATTAATTAAATTAATAAAATAAAAATTAAATTATATCAATTTAACATACATAGCAGCCACAAGCGTAAGTAATAATCTATCAAAAAAAAAATTAAATATTAAATTTAAATTTAAATAAATAATAAAAAAATTAATAAATTAAACCTGATCCTTTATTGCAAAATTGCCCAAATATTTCTATAAAAATAATTAATAATAAATATAAAGAAAAATAAATAAATAAAAAAATAAAAAAAAATAATCCACTTATCACTTCGTTAAGAAAATTGTTATTACAAATCCTGAATAATATAACTTAAAAAATAAACAAATAAATAAATACAAAAAAAAAAATTTAAAAATGAAATTAATTAAATTTAAATAAAAAAATTAATCCTAACTAACTTTTTATTACAAAATCGTTAATTAATATTAAAAAAAATTGATAGAAATAAATTAAAAAATAAATAAATAAATAAATAAAAAAATAAATTAAAATATTTACTAATACAGTCACTAATAGCCAAATAAATCCTTAATGAAATTAGCTGAACCCAATTAAGAACCTGAGTAAGAAAGATTTCTAAAACTACAATTGATTATTTTGTATGTGGAGTCTTAGAAAAGGCTTTAGATTATATATGGAAAGTAATAAACAAATATTACCTACAATTCTAACCGATTCTGAAATATAAATGTAAATATTAATAAATAATCCCTAATTTATACACAACGATTCTCCCTTTCATTTCACCTACTACTCCACTGCTTTCTATTTTCTCCTATTATCCTCCATTACCCTCCACTGTTCTACCATTCATTATCTTTTATTGTCTCACCACTCTTACTACCTACTGCCCTCCACTGCCTCTCTTACTCACTGCCTTTTACTACCTACACCTCACTACTCACTCAATTAATTAAACATGAAACCTAAATAAATTAAAATATTAAAAAAATATATATTAAAAAAAAATATTAAAAAAAAATTCTTACCTACAGCTGAAGTTGATAAAGCTTGCTTTCTTCAGTTCAGTTCTGAAAAAGAAAGTTTTACAAAGAGAAAAAAAGATTATCAATTAACATTTGATAATCAATTTAGGATCTGAATCTGAATCTAAATCTAAATCTGATGAATTAGATTTGAATCTGAATCCAAATCTGAATCTGATCTGAATTTGATGGATCTGATCTGAATCTGTGTAGAATACTAACTGTAAATATAAAATTAGCTTAACCTGAAATATGACCCTATATAAATCCTGATATGCTTGTAATTGAATAAAAATGAATCTGATATTTATAATAATATAGTTGTTACAAACTGTTATAAATCACTATAAATTGATAAAAAACAGTGAAATTGCTAAAATTGATAAAGTACTTTAAAATCATTATAATCTGTTATAATCTACTAAAACACTATTATGGATTTAGATAGTAGAGCCCAATATAAGCTAGTTTTTGTAGGATATAGTGATGTAAACTTCGAAGAATATAGAAGAATATTAGAAGTATTATGTCTTTTAAGTAAACGATATAATCATGAAACACCAGAAATGTAGTGCTCCTGTATCTGCAGTCCATTTAGAAAAATACTTCAAGAATTTTTTCTAAGAATGGATATATTATAATGTATGGAAATTTATATGAACATGATAAAGTCCATGGTCTTCCATCAAATTATATATATTGTAGTGTATGTAATTCCTTAGTTTTCATATCTGAAAATGGTTTTAGTAGAGTTAATTATTATCGAGATAGCTACTTGAAAAGATATATTTCTAGAAATACTATTTCGAATGAATATACAAAAAAAGAAGAAATTCTCAAATCTATTGATAAAGGGAATTTCATATCTGGCAATATAAACAATTAACATTACAAGAAGAGGTTAAAATTAATCACCTTTGTCTAGAACTTTCTCCCAATCTAACTTACACTCAGAAAAGAATAAGTTAGCATCAGTATCTTATAATCATAATAGGAATTTTACGGCTAGCTATAAAAATTATGCACAATCTAAAGTAACTGTAGCAAAAAATACTATGCCAAGTGCTTTAAATTTTGAGCCAGCTTGTATTTTACCTGCCAGGCAAGAAAATATTTCACTAACTTCTTATTAATTATCAAATTACTGAAGTAATACAAACAAAATATTTATTTCATTTATATATGCAAAACAAAATAACTTAAACTATCTTAATCAGCCAAAAGGTACTATGTTAAGATTAAAAGATGAAACAAAAATCACGATTGTTTAACTGGTTTAACTAATATAATTTATTTTTTGCACTATATAATAGATGATCGCTTAGTGGAATTAGTCAAAGACATTATGCATGATCTGC